CGGTGATAGATTTATTGGTTTCACACATTAAGCAATTAATTGTAAAACAGGCCTTATAAAATTCTTACAACTTGACAATTATCATAAGTTCTAAAAACCTTTTTGTATAACGTATAACGATCCCGAAAATAGTTGAAAAGAACATCATTAATATTAAACAGTTGTTTACTTGAGATCTCGATGAGAGGCCGAGTCTCAAAGCCATGTTCAAAGGCAGGAGCTATGTAAATACCGCCTTAGGGGTACAAGCCACTCCAAGCCAAGTCCAAGACGGTGTCTCGTCGCCCGCCCGTTGAAAATTTATTCTTCTTACAACTATGAAATATCTCCGTCGTGCCTTGAAGTCCTAGTACCTTGAGATTTTAGACAACGGAATTCTTTGATATAAAAAATTTGAAGGTTGGTTTCTTGCAAAGCGTGGGTACCCTTAGTGGTTTACCAAATAAAGTCACCGTCAAAAGTAATTTATTTGGTTGTGATAAACGTTTAGAAATCAATTAAAATAAATACTTACCTTTCAACGAAATTTATACTTACATATATTATCCATTTACACTGATTTCAAGCTCAGTAATTGCATGAAAATTGATCCTAAATGAATGCGATGTTCAACATGGTACATAGGTACGCAGCCGCTGTATTTAATTTGCATTTCAGTTAAATTAGGTTTAATCGAACACTTAAATTCAAATGAAACTACGGCGTGTAAGTCGAATGGTTTATTAGGATCCATTTAATATGGGTGCCTAGTACCTATTCAGTTTTAGCTGCAGATAAAATATTTAATTTCATTTATAAACCCAATTGGAGCTCCGCACTGCGAGTGCAGTACGGTTCACTGATTTGCTAAATTGACAGTAATTGACACTTACAACAGTTTTCAATCCATTCCAAACCGCCGGCGCAGGCAGTCCCGGAAAACGCTTTTATCCTATACCAGCTAGTGACCAGCCATTAGGGTAATTTTTATCTAAATTCTTTTATTTTTTAGAAGTTTTAAATTTGCTTTTCTTACTTTCCGCTCGCCCAGTACCTCGTTAAGGAAATTTTGTTTTTGGAGCTAGTTATAACAACAAACTGTTTTGCATAAATGCATCAAAAAGTAATTATGATAAGTCCCATCGAGTGTAGTAGGGAGACAGATACGCAAAATTACCAATTACTTACTGCTTAAAATCAACGCGATGTTTTTTCTTAAGTTTACGTATGAATTTCAACACAGGTATTTTAATGAGTTCCAAACTTGAAGAAGTGTTTGTGAGCTCCTATTATAAGTTAGAGGAGTAATACTAGAGTTTTCCTAAGTAAGCTTTGTTGACCTACTTCACGGAACAAAATTAATAAGCTGCATGTAACTTCGACCTAACCACTAATGAATCAGCAAAATGAAGAATACCTCTTCACAAAGTAGAAAGGAACGAAGTCTATTCGAGACGTTTTAATTCCCCAGCTATGAATGGAAAACACTGCTACCCAGAAAACATGAGCCCAAAGAGCTCACAGTATTTTGAGGAACAATGAACAATTATTTTTCGGCATATACCATTGTTTTGAGAGCCTTTAAAATTACAGTGTGATATTGTATTGTCTGACAGAATAAATATTGAAGTATGCCTATGTGTATTGATTTATTTTTGTATGGGAGGTAGGAATTGCTTACACAGCGTTAAAGGCATTTTGCCCTTCATTAAGTACCTACATAAGTTAAATGTCAGCGGGTTAATAGGTGTCTCCGATATCTGGTTACGAGGCTTCTAAGTGCCATTAGTCGGTTGAGTGCAGCGTACAATGTAATAGAGAGTGAACCAATAACATTAATATCATATTCTAAATCCAATTGCGTCGCTACTAACCGTGCCTTGCAAGGCAGTGACGCAATTTATACTCACTATAGGTACTTATTAAACATATTATTATTTCAGTTCAGTTGGTAGAAACAAAGAGGTAAGGTACCTCGTTAATTTTCAACTTGATAAAATTAATAGGCTTCCTGTCCTTGTATAAATATTATATCCTATTAGACATTTTATTTTCTCGTGTTATTGAAAATCCTTTGCACGATTCCATTTTCTCCTAACGTCTAACCGATATCTGATACGATAAGTTTCAAGCGAGTTTGAGGTGAGCTAATGAGGAGCCAAATAACTTCGTAACTTTTAATGAAATATTGATTCAAAATCATTAGGTGGACTGAAAAAAAAAGAGAAATGATATGGGTAACAATGATTGGATTTTCAGCTCTCACGCTTGATAGTAGAAGACTAAAAAGTTTAATAATCAACCTAAACAAATATGATTTTTACTTTACAATAACTTACGTGACAAATAGCAACAAGCTATTATTCATGACGTTAGTAGTACACGCTTTACTGCGTGCTCTCTCTAATCAATCCGCTGGCATTTTTCCGATAAACTAACAACACAGCCTCACATGTATGCTCTCCTAGTACTCTGAAATAATCAAAATATTCAAAAAACAAAATGGACGATGAAAAAAGTGTAATTAAAACCCAGTAAACAAGGGTGGTGAATGCTAGCTCCCACTGGAGGCTAAAAACGTTTTAATTGTTTTATCTGAAGGTAAAAACAAACAACCAGGTCGCATATCAAGTAAATTGAACCCGTTTTGGAGATCAAACAACCGCCTCCAGCTAGATAATATCTGCCTCGTTATGTTGACCAGTAAATAAATAAAGTAATTCAAGACCTTTATATACGATTAACATTTTTATGATTTTTATGTATTTTACTTACAAAGGCACCAACATTAGCAATCTTTACCTTCTATCATAATGTATAAAGCGAGCAAGCGATCGACTTGGATCACTCAAGTATAAAGTTTTTGAGTTTCTTACAATAATTGAATAATTCTTACAATGTTGCAATAACAAACTCAATCCTCGCGCATTCATAATCTTTTTTTATGAAACAGGAGACTAATTACCATAATATGGTGTGATGAATCGACACCACCCATGGACAACTAAACGAGCTACGAGTGCATTACAGGCCTTCGGATATTTAAGGATTGAGGAGGGATGAGAGGAGGGGTAATGATTGGGCCACCTGTAACTTCGTACACACGGCGAAACACAACAGCTGTGTCACGCCGGTTTTCTGTGAGGCCGTGGTATCACTCCGGTCGAGCTGACCCATTCCTGCCGAAACTTGGCTTTCCGACAAACCTACATATTTTTAGAAAGAAAGCAGAAAGGGTCTGTTTATGAAATAAAAACGAAAGCATTCCTAAACAGTAGTTACGAAACAGTTATGAATAAAACACGTCTCGGAATTGGAGCAAGGTTTAACGTACGGCCGACAGAGGAATCTCAAGGGTGCTGGTAGACCATTGTCAAGGCTGGCTCATGTGTGGATATCAGTATATCTCGGTAACAATAAAAAAAGTTAGCACAACAGGGCTTTTTGATCTCACACTTCGTTTTTTATTCAGACGGTAAAATGTAGCGGGGTGGAAACTGGTATTTAATTAATCAGTTACTTGAACCGGTAACCGAGGAAAGAATATATCAGCAACGGTATTATTAATGACACTATATTATTTGGTGCTTTCCGATTACATATTACTTGGTGGCATAGAGTTCACAACTTTTATGTGTTTTGTGTGGAGGGGGGTCAAACTAGCATACGTACGAGCTGACGGTCAGGCCCATAGACGCTGCCGTTGTGTGTTGCCTTCTACGGATAGAAATTCGACAGTACCACGGCAAACCACATAGCGTTGTGTTTCACTCCAGGGCATCAGACACATAATACTATATACATATAAAATGTGAGAGCCATGCTTCGGCACGAATGGGTCGGCTCGACCAAAGTGATAGCACGGCCTCACAGAAAACCTGCGTAAAATAACCAAAGAGTTCTGTTTCGCCGTATGAGTGAGGTTACCGGAGGCCCAATCCGTTCCCTTTTCCAAAATCGCCAAATCCCTAATCCCCAAAAGGTCGACAACGTATTCGTAACTCCGCCGTATTCAATTGCTCGTTTGCCGACCTATCACATACAAAAAACCTTCTTATATTTTTGCCTACACCTTTGTCAAACGCACACAAATTATCTCTAAAACAAGTTAACAATTAATTACACGAAATTCTCAAGTCTGTACCTAATATCCAACCTTATTCGACAACCCTTTAACATCAATATCAAGTGCGGTGTAATTTGAGCTCGCAGCGGTTTCAACTAAAAATCCATTTTTGGCAAGAGAATCTCCATTTGATTATTCCGCTCACGCCGCAAGGATCAATTGATGGAAACTTATAGCACTCATAATGGTTACACTCAGTTCAAATATGGCTGCCATTGGCCAACCGTTTGTACGCTGCAAAGTTCACGCTATTTGATCCTAATATCAATACTTTTTTGCTTTTGACACAAAGTTAAAGAGAAATATTTTTTATCAATAGCATTATTTGTATGACCTTTAGCTAATCTAAGGGAATTGAATGATAGATTTTCGAAATAAGAAGCTCCGTTCATACACATATCTAACTCGGTTAGCGCTACCTACTTAATTCATTTACCCAGTTAAGTAAAATGTAATTAAAATATTCTAAGAGATTATTTTTTGTTGGGACAAGCCTGCCGCTATCTCCCAAAATCTCTGCAACTCCTGTAAGCCAGGATCTACCGTAGATACAACCATGTAAACACCGGTACACCGAAATCCGGCGCGTCCCAGGGACATGAATGGCTGTCTTGGATACCTCAATGAAATAAATCAGAAGATGTAATTTGAGAAGAAGAAAATACTAAATAGTTTCTCCTTCCCTCGGTAAATTTAAGGATTTATTTTGCAGGATTCAAAATGAATTAAGCCTTAAAATTTAAGACTGTCTAATAGGCTGGCTAATGGGGACTAGCAGGATATTCATGATTGCGTGTGCAAGCGCAAGCACAATAGCGCGAGCATACGGCGTGCAGCGTTCCGCGCGTGCTTCAAAGGCCCAATAGACCACCACAGGTGGCGCCCCACAGGGCCGATGGTCAGCCGGGTTTGGGGGGTAAGCGCAATGGGGTACCGATGCCTCAGCCTGGAGCGGAGGAGAAGGAACGGGAGGATTTTTAGTCAGTAAGAGATCTGACTTTCCTTCTCGTCTCATCCTTGGCGAGAGAAATCCTTTAATAATTTTCTCTTTATGAAAAAAAAGACCTGCAGGTTAAAAAAAGATAATGGTTTTTAGTCAGTTATAACACTCCCTGTCATTTGAAGACATTTGATGTCATAACTTTACTTTCTTATGTAGGTTTAAAAATATCATGAATCAAAACAACTATTTTTCAAACATTCCTTAAACTTCTTGATTCCTGGTACAGTCTTAGCAAAGTGTTCGTAACTCATAAAATATTTGCTACCCAATTAACGTGCAGAACTTGCGAGTCTACTCATTAAACTTTCCAGAACATTAAACCTAATGATCATTATACTTTTATACACTTTTCACCTTTCTATTTTAGTTGTAGGTCTTCTTATTTTACTAATTTGACTGCACAGTTTGCGCAGTGGCCAGGTGATTACTGCTAGCCTAGGTGTGATGTGTGTGGGAAATTATGTGTATGTGTGTGTCAAGCAAGCCCACGATATACGAAGGCTTATGGGAAAATCGTAAATATTATACTCGTAAATTGCCAGCCACGTACGAGTCTCGTTGCATTCGCCTATGAAGGAGTCTCCAGCAACAAGTAAAGTTATTTCACGATTTTTGACGATTAAATTAAACTATTGTCTGTCATGATCTCGTTGAAAGCGATATTATTTTTGGTGGAAGTAATCTTTATATACAAAAATTTCGTGTCACGTGTTTGTCCGCGATGGACTCCTAAACTACTAAACCAATTTTAAATTTGATTTGCATTCCGTGCGCTTTTGATCCAACTTGAAATATAGGATAGCTTACATCTCATTTATAGTCACAATATTATTTTATTGCAAATTATTTGTCCATATGTAATATGACAAGAATCTTAGCCACAGCAACGCGTAACTTGGTCTGCTAGTATGTACTATATTTTATTACATCATATATATTTTTAAGTTTCATCATTCTCTTAATTTTGAATTTTGGAGGGAAACTCGCTTAATTACGATGGACGTATCGATCAGGCAAACTATTCAGTTTAGAAGATAAATATTTAGTAGTGTAGTTTTAGGAACCCTGCCATAACTGACCCAACTTCGAATAAAAGATTGCTTTTGCTTTAGCGTACAATATTTGTATCAGTCTTTATATTATTGTTCCAGGTGACTATGGCTTCAGAGAACCGCACTCGTATCCAGCAGAATGACCTGCTCCTCCACGAAGCTGTCATTAAAAACGAACCAGATGCTGTTCGTGAAGCATTGCAACGTCCTACCGATGTCAACTGTAGAAATAATGTGAGTATTTTCTCTAAATAAACAATAACAATTTTGACTGTCTACTTTCGTGCATGCGGCACGCGATTATAGGCCCTGGTATGGCTTGGAAATTAGTCGAGTCATCTCGATGATTATTTTTATTGTCAAAATAAAGCATAAATTCGTTCCCTGGCATCATGTCGAAGACAATAAATACACTAAAGACCTTTCAAAAAATAAGTAGTATGATATTATCTAAAAATTAGCAATAAGCTTTTATTATTTTACGTAGTTATTAAGTGCCTAGGTACCTACTTTTACAAATTGAAAACAAAGAAATGTGAATTGTACAATATAATTTCGTAATATACAATTTTTTCGATATAGCTATATATATATTTATCTATAGTCTTCGAATGCCTGGTACAGCCATATTTTAGTGAAATTAAATCGTTAAACCGCTTTCTCATTAATTCCGCTGCTTTTCGACCTTAGAACTCGGAAGTTTAAACTGTGAGACGGCATTAAATTTTCATTCGTAATATTGATCAAGCGAATCTTGTAAATTACTCCATGTATATATGTCTCTGTTAATGCTTTTCCGAACAATTAGATTTGAAGTGTTTTATGTTTGTCTATACGTTGTGTGGCTGGAGCAAATAATCTTATACCATCAACAAGATCCCGCGTTGACGCTTAGTAAATAAGATCGGGAAACGATTTTCGCTCATTTGTTTCTTGAATTTCATGTTAATTCGGGAATACAAGTAAACTGGTTTCTCAGTTCATTGGAGCCAGTAATTGTATGTGTTTGTTTATCTAGTAATATCGAAAGTTCTATACAAACTTCGAATCAATCCCTCGAGGAGTGCAGCTAGTACGGTACTAGTTAATAGCGATTCCAATGTTGGAAGGCAAAGTTGCATAATTTGTAAAGAGCGTGCCTGAGATGCGGTGTGCTTAGTTACGATAGATTTGAGTTCTAATACGATTATTAATACGTTTTATGATATCCCAGTTAAAAGTTAAATTTCATGTACTGTTCTTTTAATCGTCATTTTGATAATACCGGGAAATATGTTAAATATGTTAAATAGGAAATATGTTAGATAGCCTGAATTTCAAATGACAATATTACTTTTGTGTCTTATGAACTGAAAAATCTATACTAATAATTTAAATAGGCAAAACTTCTAAGTTTGTAATTTTGTATGTTTGTAAGTTTGTATGTAGGGGGTAATCTTTGGAACAGACAGCTGGCCGGATTTCCAAAATTATCTAACTGATACTCGTAGATAGCTACAATGTTCCTGAGTGCTATAGGCTATAAAACATCACGCTACGTTTAAATGGAGCCGAGCAGCGAGTGAAACCGCGGCAGAATAGCTAGTAGATTATAAATCTGTGACAGTTCCTTTTATTTCACAGTATGGAAGAGCACCGATACACTGGGCAGCTAGCAGAGGTAACGTCGAGATAATAAACCTACTCATCGATTCCAAATGTGACATCGAAGCCGCTGATAAGGTTTGATAACAGTTTAATTGCTTTGCAATCAACTAAAGTGCATTTCGTATCTGTACAAGGATTTAGTAATGAAGATAACCAAAACATATGCATACTTAGTAGGTACCTATGTATATGACATTTACAACATACATAGGAAGGTCAGATTTTCACATAAATGGTATGCAAAATAGCTTTAGAATGTTATTATTATATAAGAAAAAAAAACAACCAAAATCGCATGATGGACTCAAAGCTAGGAGAATTAAAATAAGGTAAAAATTAAATAACGGAATTTCTTTTTTGTGCGCACGTTTTATTTGGCAATACATTTGAGTACTAGGATTCCATAGCAAGAAAAAAGTATTTTATGATTGTTACAGTTCGGAATGCGACCGCTGTTGATGGCGGCATGGCACGGACACTTAGAGGCGGTGAAAACTCTTGTTGGTGCTGGAGCCTGTCTTGCTGCTACAAACAAAGTATGTTCTCCTGGTAGTTTACATTTAAATATCTAAGTAATTGGAATAAATAAATTAAAAAAAAAGAATAAATTTACGAACCGAAATGGCCAACTTTCAAACCTTGTGGTCCATTCATCGCTTACCATGAGGTCGCTCATTAGCCTCCTATAATATAAAATAAATAATGTTTTTAACCAACAAAATAACCCTTTTAAAAATAGTGCAATTAGGCACTGTTTTTCATATGTATAATTAACATTTACTTACTTAATTATAGATAATAGCTATGGAAAATTGTATTATTAATAGGGATTTATTTTCGCAGAAATAAGCTTAATCTAACCTAATTACAATATAATATTGCTACAAACATGATACTATAATTCAAATAACGTAGCAATATTAATTGTAAGCTTAAACGGAAGAGCGCTTGCGTTTATTGCTATAATTATTCTACCAGGAACCCTGTATCGTATAAAATTATTAATTAGTTCCAATTATAAAGAGAACATTGTTAGCAAACCATGTTATAGTGTGGCGTCACAGGCAACACAAACCACGTTACCAAGAAAATGATACTAAAATTTAAATATAAACTATAGAAAAAAAAATTTTTGATTGTCTTATAAAATTCTGAGTTTTTTGGGCTTATTTCCAAATTTGCAAACTGTTCAAGTGATGATAAACAATTGGCGCCACCAGAGTTGTTAGCCGTGTGAGCCCATTCCTCTGTGGCAATGGACAGGGCTACACACAACGCAAGAGTGTTATTTCACACCGGTTTGTATCACTCTGGTCGAGCCGACCCATGTCCTTGATTGACCCTCGTGCCGAGGCATATCCCTGCTATATCTTCTTTCCTTTCGCAAGTTTTACACATTTAATTTTCTTTTTATTCCTATAAACAGCAGTATGTTTGATTGCAGAAACAAAACGATCTCCTACAATGCGCGTGTTCCCGTGGTTCATTGGACGTGGCAGAGTATGCCATATCTTTGGGAGCCAAGGTCCAAACATCGGACGCTGCTGGTGACGCGCCTCTTGCCTTGGCTTCGAGAGCTGGTCATACTTCATTAGTAGAACTTCTGTTACAAAGAGGTTCATATATCGATGCTGTTAATAAGGTAAGTTACTAGGGTTTCATAAGCAGTGACATATACCTATACCTACTCGATGTTTTATCATCAAGTTTTTCATACTATTTAGTAATAACTATACTTACATCATTGAATGGACATAACAAAAAGTTAAAAATAGTTATTTCAACTGAACATTAATTGCTTATATTTTTCTACCATATTTTTCTTATATATACGGCCATTAATAAAACAAACCTTGCTATATGAATAAATTTGTAAAATCATTTTAGCTCACGACGGCTGCGATAATATTTTGTAAAATCATTTTCAACTGGTTTCGTTTATTAAAAATACAAAACTCATTCGTTATTTAAATTGAATTTATGTTTGATAAAATCGTAGGTAAATACTTCAGAAAAATGATTAATTTGAAAGCAATATCCAAACCTTTTTATCTCGATATTTCTTCAGTACAGTCGGCACAACGAACTAAATAAAAACTGAAATTGACGTATTGAAAATGTTTTTTTATATGTAGATAAACTACAGAAGAATTCGGTCAATCATTAAAATCTTGACTTTCAACTATACGGTCCGCCATTTTGTGTCTCTTGTAAGTACTTTGAGTATAAATAATGAGGTCTCATGTGGGCTCCGCCATCGCCAACGCCTACACGCGAGATTGTTCCTTAATAAAATAAAATTGCGATTTAATAAAAAAGTAATGATTCCGAATCAAATAAATTAAATCTCACAGCTCCATGCTGATTCAAACTTTCTTTTCACCTGTGCGTCTTCAAGTTTTATTTAAAAAGTTCATTGTTTTTCTTTCAAAGAACTTTATTTAATTGATTTTCGAGAAAGATTGGGCTTTGTGTGGGCACTGATCGAGTATAATTACTGTTTTATTTGATAGGGACCGATGTAATTTGTGTCTACTTGTGTTATTTTATACTTCGGATATAACCTTTTAAACACAAAATATTATTAAGTTTTTAGTATTTATCGTCAACCATACTATTACCATACAAATGTACCTATATATAAAAAATTGAAAACAACGATTAGGTACTATATTTTAGCTGCGCGGGGTCGTTAATACGCGCACACTCTGCTCATAGATAAGAGTCCCGTTGGGACTAGAAAACGGTAGAGATTTACTCAGTTCAGAAAATTATTTATTATTTATCCTGCATATTAAGGAGGAAAACGGCAGTCAAAAGTATCTGTGTCATTCTGTGGCAATTACAACAAAACGCAGTTAATTAATGGTAAATCATAAAAGAAGGATTATCGTCTTAAGAAAATGTTGTTGGATACTTTGAAAATAAACATATACTTACACATTCTATGTATCACAGATCACTTTATACATAGGTAGTATAAAAGTAAATCGGGTTTGCTGTCCCTGTATCCCTATGTATACTTAAATCTTTAAAAATTGATTGTGATCCGGTTTTCTTAAAATTTAGACTGATTGAAGAGGAATGTGTTACTTTAGAATAACAACCATTAAATAGTAAAAGTATCAGTATTACACCCGTGCGAAGCCGGGTCTAGTGGTTTGTAGTGAATAAAAAATAAATAAGGCCACCAACAAACATGTTTTAAGTGATATGCCTAAAGTTATATTATGCCAAAACAAATAAAACAAAGTTTGGCAGTAAACTGCTATTCTAGTTAGCAAATTGGTTTACTTACGGACTTACAGAGTACCTACATACACAATGTCAACTTTACCGAGGCAGGTACTTAAGTAATGTTATTTCGCTTCGAAAGCTACCTCCTCAGATTTTAGTTATATATATTCAGACACAGCAAATAATAGGGCGAGAAATGCATATAAAATGAACAGTTACTCTCCTACCTACTACCCATTGGTCTAAACGTATAGTTTGATAATTAACTAGCTTTCAACCGCGGCTTCGCTCCAGTCCTAACCTAACCATATCCTTTTTTTTTGTCAGGGAAAATCATCCAATGACTTCTCCCGCCCAGGGCCGGGCGGGAGGGAGTGTCAGACTCTTACTGACTAAAAACCCCCCCGTTCCTTCTCCTGCTCTGGGCCGAGGTCGCGGTGCCTCATTGCGCTTACCCCGCAACCCCAGCAACCTAACCATATCCTATGTTCTTCTTCTGGTTCTAAAGTATATCCCCAGTAATTCTCAATCGAAATCGGTTCAGCCTTTTTTGAGTTATAAATAGTGTAATATAACTTTAACACGACACATCACGAAAAGGATTAGGATTCTATTCAAACTTGTTGTTATGGAGAAAGGCATTTACACAAACAAACATAAAATTAAATTCTTCAGCTTCATAAAATTAGTATAATAAATAAATCAAATTCTTAAACTGGAATCTCATTCCCACTGTGACAACGAAGGATTAAAAACCAATTCAATCTACAAAAGTGGATAGACAGTACCAGGTTAGCATAAAGCTTAACAATGCATCAGTCTGATTAATTCCACTTTTCTTTCTAACGTTGACCAAAGAGTAGGTACCTACCGGGAGTCGGGGATTAACATTCTTCGGGCGAGCATAAGGTTTGCGGAATTAAATTATAAGGCCATTACTGATTCTCATTTAGAACATAAATTCACATAATTGGGAAGCCTTAATACCGGCCAGGGAGACTTGGGAAATGGATAGTAAAAATAATAAAATTACACCTTAAAAAGCAAAAATGATGTGATATTCATTAGCTAGATAGACGATACAGTAATAGTCCTATGTATCGGAGAAGGAATAGGTAAAAATAAAATAATTTTGATATCCAAACTGTCTTCTTTACTGACCCGATGCCTAAACTACTGAACCGATTGATGTGAAATTTGGTACAGACATAGTTTGGAACTCGAGAAAGGACATAGGCTACTTTGCTACCAAAAATATAGTCACTATTCCACGCGAACAATGTCGCGGAGGAAAGCTAGTTCATAATAAAAACAAAAACTCTTTTTCAACGTAGTCTGCGCGACTTCGCCGCGTCCGCGCACGCTACTTATGAGGAAGAACCCCTCTGTGGTTCGAAACTAGTAGAGCTTTTCTCAATTTATACACGTGAGTAACCCGCGATTTTTGGTTAATTTATGTATGTCTCACGATAGTTATTATAAAAACACTCTTTCGTATTTTTACCTTCGTGAAACTTTATTCTGGCATCATGAACTGCAACAAATTATGTAAATACGACCTTCTATCCCATACTACACTCTATTTTTGAGTAAATTGATTTTAAATAAAGAATAAAGTTATCTATTATACAAGAGGGTATACCCGGGAGATCAAGCGATGCAAACTAGATAGAAAATTGAATCATGCAGCCATCCTCGCTCCTTGATTTGTCGTAGTACAATTACAAGTAACATTTCAAATACCATTGCTTTTTACTACTTTTTATAGCTATTGCATTGAAGTTCTTTCGTAATATGTAGTAAGTTTTACCATATAGGTATGATAATATAATATTTATTTATTTATTTATTAAGAATATTTACATATACAACATTACAGCTTACGCTTTTAAGTTGTATTGTTAATTTTATATAAATACTATTATCTAGGTACTCAAAAAAAAACTAATTAGGATTAAATACAAGAAAAACAATACATAATTAAAAAAAACAAAAGTAAAGTACTTAATACAACTGAATAACAAGAAAAATACATTATAGTTTACCTACCTATCATTCATCCTCTTACAATATCTAAGACATTCACGACACAGATCTATCCATCTCATTGCAAACAAATCACAATCTGGCGCTGACATCAGGAGAGAATGTGATAATCATCTGTCTTAATCACCAGGTGAACATATTGAAATCCGTAAATCTGGAGATAGCTATTGCTATATAACACAAACATTTAAATAAAAATATTGTTACCGGATGCCCAATTTTTCCTCTCCCAAATCCCTAATCTCCAAAAGGTCTTAAACGTACTCGTAACTTCTCCATTGTATCCAAGTACTCCATTTGGTAATTCATTTGTTCGCTTGCCTAGAACGGCACACACGTCACATAAAAAAAAAGTTTTAGTCTCCTATCATTTCCATATGAAAAGTAATCCTTTTTATTTTTAACTTATTTAAAAACTACCTAATTAATAAACGGAACCTTTTTACTATTAAAAATATAAAAAAAGTTTACATACCTTTGCATAGATTTAAAAAATAATAATAAAAGACTGTACAAACAAATGAACATAATATACCTACAAACATCAATATTAATATGAATAATGATAATATTCATATGATCATTGATTTGTCAATTAATCCAATGGTCATCGCCGACAGATTTCAAAAATGCTTTTAACTAAATGACATTTTAATAGGAATGATTTTTAAATCGTTTTATGATATCATATTGATTGAAATATGTGTTAAAAGATAGTTTTGTTTAGATATCCAAACTGTCTGTCTGTCTTTTCTTCACGCCTAAACTACTGAACCGATTTCTGTGAAACATTGTACAGACATAGTTTGGAACTCGAGAAAAGCCATAGGATAGTTTTTGTACCAAACCTCTGCAGTAAGTCACTATTCCACGCGAACGGAGTCGCGGGCAAAGGCTAGTTGGGGGTTGCGGGTCAAGCGCAGGAATATTTTGCAGCCTGGGCCTCCTAGTTCTTAGTCAGTAAGAGCCTGACACTCCCTCACGCCTGATTTAGGGCGCGAGAAGTCAATTAATATTTTACTTCCTCAAAAAAACTTGTACTACATATGTGTAGGTAGTGAAATGTACATGGCGCTAGTTTCATCTTTTTTATCTTTATATATAAAAATCGATCGCAAAATGTGTTGGTAAGCGCATAACTCAACAACGCCTGGACCAATTTTGCTGATTCTTTTTTTGTTGTGTTCGTATTTTTATATGAAGGTTCTTACGAAAGAAAACTTTAGAAAAGTAAAGAATATCGGGAATTAATAATCCTTTCGGTGCTGTGACTGTTTGCTAAAAACAAATGACTGACGGGGTAGTCGAATACCCGTGCGAAGCAGGGGCGGTCCGCTAGTTATATACCATATAAAATGGATCGCAAAATATGTTGTTAAGCGCATAACTCAACAACGCCTGGACCAATTTTGCTAATTCTTTTTTTGTTGTGTATGTTATTATCAGGAAAAGGTTCTTATCAAGAAAATATTAGAAAAGTAGAGGGGAAGATTAGGAAAAATGACCCTTTGATAGCGAGATAGTTGGACACGTGCGAAGCGGTGGCGGGCCGCCAGTTATGAATGAAAACTGGTAAAAAAACTCCAAAAAGTTTTCATAATACGTCATAAAAAGTTTTTGCGTAGCATCAATGGTTATTCTATTTATAACGAATTTCAATTTCTTGGTGTATACTAGGTATGTTCATACGTTGTTTGTTTAATCTGTCACCAAATTAGTATCTCCACGCATGAGCAATCAATCAAATAGATCCTTCTGATTGAGTTCATTCAGATAACTAGGTCCAGTTTCGTCGTTGATCTAGTTAGCTTTTGAGTACCGTGTTTGATTAGACCAATGATGATTGAAACGTTATCCCAGCTCGTATCATAATGTGGATGCTAATTATACCGCTAGAGGACACATGAGAGCCTGGTATACGAGTATGCGTGGCCAATGGAAATAAGGTCTTACGGCTTAAAAAACTGTTTTGCCGCATTTATAAACAGACAAATTACGCTTTTCTGAATCACAATTTTTTTCTTTAAGTATTTTATCTGCTGCTTGTTCACAAAAAATACTAAAAGATTTTTATGGTATAAGTCGAGCAGACGGATTACCTTATGGTAAGCAATCGGCGCCGCCCATGGACACCCGCAACACCAAAGGAGTTACGAGTGCGTTGCCTGCCTTTTGGGGATAGTTGTTGTGGACATAAGGATCGGGAAGGGATAGGGGAAGGGGCGGGATTAGGCCTCCGGTAACCTCACTCACACGGCGAAACACAACGCTGTAGTTGTTTCACGCCGGTATTCTGTGAGGCCGTGGTATCACTCCTGTTGAGCCGACCCATTCGTGCCGAAGTTTGACTCTCCCACACTTTGATTCCCACACTTCTATAATCTATCCATCCATTCAGTCTTTAAAGATCGTGTGCTTGTTTTACTCCTATAAAATTGCCTTAAAAGTGCAATAACAAATGCTTTTCAAAATTTCAGTAAAACAACATAATTGAATAACACTATTATAGGCAATGATGTATAAAACTATAGATACGTTGTCCGCGCTCTAAAATGACAACATGAAATGAAGGCAATTGACAACATCGCGCTTAGTTACGCACCAACCTGCCGCGCGACGCTACGTTTGTTTTTAATTTATATCGTGTGTGTAAACCTGTGCGAAACATAAAGAAAGCATGCCGTCGTGTGTGTTCAGACGATGTACAAATTATACCCCAAAAGTTAAAGACAAAAATGTGTCATTTCATGCGTAAGTTCACCAAACAACCTATTTTTATTTTATTTTTTCGACGCCGGCGCCCGCCATCTTATGGCGGCCGGAGCATGAATACACTATACGATGTCATATTTTCTTTCTCTTTCTTTACTCGTAGAAGTAGTTATCTAGTATTTTCGCCGTTTTTAAGAGCCGCGATGTTGGTTCATGACGTGTCTATATATAATACGTCATTGATTATAGGTACCGGAGTAGCAAATTACTACTTCCAATTATTTAGTAATCTCAAAATATACACGGATGAGATATTCAGCTCTCATATCCAATTGCAGACTCCAATTTACTTGCAGTGATATTTGCTCATAATTCCCGGAAAAGGACTGCTATATTCGACGACAACTGAGAAATTCGCAAACACGCCTTCATTAGAAATGATTGCTGTTTTAATAATGAATGCCTTGTACCTATCCGAGATGAAATATCTTCTGAATCGTATAGATGCACATTTAATTAATACGTAGCTCGTTTTAGACTTTTTCTTTTCAATTTTCATGCTGAAATGTTGCTTTTAAAAACAGATCCGGCTTACGGAATTAAATGAACAGTTTTTTATTAATACCAAAGCCACATATATTATGAATTCCGCTTATAAGATTTGCAGCATGCTGTGTGTGGCATGAGTCGGCATGACCCAATCGTAGTTTACGAGTTTTTTTTTTAATTTATACACATTTTCATGTAAACTTTATTATAATGTTTAAATATTGTCCTAAGTAAGAGCAGATTGCAGAAGTTGTAATCCCGTAGTATAATACAACAAGGAATTCAATAAATGTATCTATAGAAAAGTACCAATGTGTAGGTCCAATCAAATTAATTAAAAATATCCATTCCAGCATCGCTTAATAATCAGAACGAGCGAAGTTTGTGAAAAGAAAAATATAAAACGAACATTGAACTACAATCCACGCTCAATGAACGTTTTGTTACAATCCGAGTCGATTGCAGACCCGAGATGTTTATTAATACAAGAACGAATCGATGTTTACTCGGCAGAAACGACTATGTAGGAAAATGTTACCTACCTACGTAGGTACTTACTTTGTTTGCCGAACCGATTCCATTTTTGTATCGTCCATGATAGATTATAGTATCTATAATGGTGTCATCCTATTTTAGATCTGAATAGGCTCTTAATAAACTAGTGCGCCTTACCATCAACGATTGCATCACTGCTTAACATCAGGTGGGATCGCAGTCAAGCACTGGTTTATTGCAAGTAAAAAAAAAAGATCTTTGTTTTATTTGTAGTGCGGGTAAGTAACAAATTGTTAAACTAATATATTGTATTTTTTACCGTAGCAATCACTTCCTATATAAAAATAAGTACTTGTCTGTTTTTTTATAATTTACCTTATGTACCTACCGACCAATCAGATCGCTAAACGTCATTAACGTGTATAACGCGCAACTCGCCTAGGCAATCTGCTAAAAAGACAAATGCTCGCTAAGATTAAGCTTAATTAGCTTAGAGTACTTAGTTAAGTACGTACATTTTAATTTATGTACCTAATCTGCAACCGGACAACCGGACGATCAAAAATTATGTTAACATACAACCAGTGTTTAATATATGTATAAGTGCTAATTTAATGAAACAAAACAACTCTTTTAACAACTTTTTACAACCTAATCCGTCGAATTTCTAACCTTGATTAGAACTAAATAGAATCCAATGAACCAGGCAAACATGACGATGGAGTGTTAGGCTGTTAGACGAAAATCAAAGCGCGAAACCAAACAAGGTCGGATAAAATCAACATGAAATTGGCGCCGAAACAGACAGAACACTTCAATAAGCTATGTCACCCTAGTACCCGCAATTACGGTCGACTGTCCCCACTCGACGTTTGAAGCCCGAGACAGGCACTTAGCGTGGAAAATTGACGAACAAACAAACAAAACAATTGTTGGTCCTACAAACTCCACATATCAGCTCTGGAGCACCAATGTGACATTTTATCTGGTTTCATATAAGTGTATCAACCAATGATTATCAACTTGATAAATAAAATGTTACATTTACATAAAAAGCCAATTAAGTATGTAACATTTGTTCTATACATACAAGATAATGATGACACCTATCTATCCATCATGAAAATAATTATTACAATACTTCAAACAAAAAGTCTACTTTTCCATATTTTACAAACATAGACGGCGACAATAATAAGAAATATCGTCACATAGAAATAAACCATCCAATTAACTATTTCTATGCATCTCTAATAAAAATCCTGATCCTGACAATGTAAGTACGTACCAACCTAACTCTCCGTTCTTCGTAAAGGACTTGTATCCGAATGTAGTCGACAAGTGCCTATTGTGATGGTAGCAGTCAGCACTGTGCACTAGTGGTAGTCATAGACAGGCATTTAATTAGATACATTCCGTTGTCTTCGACGAGATAATCCAATTACAATACCTATAGATAAATGGTTCCCGATTGAGAAATTAGTGGTATTGCTAATATTTAAAGGAAGAGAATAATATTATTGTTATAATTCATTTGAGAACTAAATTTATTTGCCTTTCTTTATATTTTGTAGTCCAGTAGAGTAACAAACAGTCATGATACTAGATACTAACTATAACTATCCGAATGTTTATTTAACTTTGTTATCTCTGAAGTTTACCTAGCTTTACTGACGGACAAACTGACAGAATTTTTATTCAACTTTTTTTTGTTGTTATTGTTTGGAAAGTACCTGTGTGTGGTTTAGTTGAAATGAATGGTTTTGACTTTAACTTTATTTCATACTAGCTTCCGCGTACGGCTTCGCCTGCGTATAAAAGTAATGTATCCCGGGATTTGAAATGAAATATATATGGATTTGAAAAAAACAGCGTTTAAAAAGCGATAGCTTGATTAAATACGCTAATCAAGTATAATTTATGGCCTCCAGTCCTCTAATCCAGGAACATTGTAGATCTACCAGTGAAAAAAAAAACTAGCAGCGATTTCGTAGATTTCCCCCTATAAAGAAACTTACAAATTTTGCCTCTTTATAATATTATATTAGTAGATATTGATAGTTGTAACTCATTCACAGGTGGGCCGCACGGCACTGCACGTCGCATGCGAAGGAGGTCACTCCTCAACCGCTGCGTTCCTAATATCCAAAGGTGCCTCCAAAGAGGCGCGAGACAACTCGGGTCGAACACCTCTGCACCTGGCGGCCGTACATCGACATACTGAACTCGTGAGAGTGCTCCTTGAGGCTGAATGTCATGTGGATGCTGTAGACAACGTACGTTCATGATAGCCTAGTACTCGGATCGTATGTTTTTGCGTACCCGTGTGGACAAAACGAACAAAAAACATTGTTTGTTATCCCTAAGTTTTAATTCTTTTTTCTGTTTTTGTTCTTGTAATTTTTGATGATTGAGAGTTGACTTTTTTCAACACTTAGAGTTGAACACCATCAACTATTTCTTGAACAAATATTATTGAAAGTAGCAAAGAAGTCCCCCTCAATGACGAAATTATCTCTCGCTCCATCCCAGGTCTATGCAATTACCAAAAGAGAAATATAAAACTGTATGAATAAAACATTTCGAGCTCATTACCTGCTGGGAGGCACAAAACTGGAATAATGTTGTTTTGTGGTTTACATTCGTGAGACCAAATGGCGCTTGAATTATTAGTATTGTGAATCGTATTACTGGTTATTAAAACGTATTTTTAATTGACAATATATTTTTAGAATGGAGTGACTGCTTTGCAAATGGCTTGCGCGCAGGGCTGTCGAGGTATTGCTGAACACCTATTAGCATTTGGTGCAAACGTTCATATGCAAAACAATGTAAGTAAGCGCTGCTCAAAATCCTAAGAAACTAACTAAGAATCTACCAAGGCAACATAAAGCTGAAACACTTAAAAATACTTTTCTATTTTTAAATTCATATTATTAAACACTAGGTTGGGTCCTCCGCACTACATGCAGCCTGCGCAGCTGATGCTACTGACATCGTGGAATTACTCCTCGCACATGGGGCTGATCCTGCACTAACAGACCAAGTAAGTTTAACAAAAATATTATATAAAAAACCCAAACAAAAATAAAAAAAAAAGAGTTTATCAGGGGACACCCGGGTTTGAACCGGGGACCTCTCGATCTGCAGTCGAATGCTCTACCACTGAGCTATATCCCCACGTGGTAGCAAGTGCCAAATAGAGGATTCCACTTTGTTATCGTCGTCAAATTCATGACGTCATCCATTAATATTTATAGAAAGCAAGTTGATAAAGCCATTTTGTACGCCCACTGATAACGGTAATTTTATCGCTGTTCTAACAATGATGACTCAATCGCTACATAATACTGTCTACATATTGCCTTTGATTTGATTTACAATACCAGTGAACCTATTATGTGCCAATTATTCCCCTCCGTACAATATAGGTCGCCACATATGTAGTTGACATTTACGGCACACTGCACGGCCATTATTTAATTTTACTGTACACAGGCAGCAAAAAACTGGTTTGAAATATAAATTGAAAGCAAGAAAAAATTTATTAAATAATGTAGTAAGGTGGCGGTAAGTTCTTATAATTTTAAACTGTGAGTTGTTTTTGTATTAGGTTGTTTGATTCCCCTATCATAGCGCAGTAATCGTACAATACAATGAATGTGCCTAAATAGGTTATAATCTTCAAAGGAGATCCTTTTATATGCATTTATATAAATCCTAAGTAGCACATAAAGTTTCTAACCAAAACGATAAAAAATCATCGTATTCGGCACACTGATGTATTCATATCTGACTCCCTTATGTACCAGGCAAACATAAATCGTATAGCGTATACATACTTTGATACTTATTATTCGATCATGCGGTGATGGAATTTGCATGGTCGTGTAATATTTCATTGGAAGGATTCCATACATTATTGATGACACTCGTTCAGAATAACAAAGTTATATAAATGTTTTGTTGGGTCTTGTTTTGACTTACAGGCAAATTTCGAACAACGGTGGAGGGGAGCCTGATTCTATTTATAACAGAGGTTGGAAATCCACTTCAAATTAAATAATTAGGCAAGGGTTCCTAAACAACGATGCTTACTACCAACCCAAACTTTTATATAAATCAAAAGAAAAAATGTTATGGAGTATTCAATATAAGTAGTTTATTTATTGATAATAACCAAGTCATGTTTTAGCTTCTTCTCAAGGACTAGTATTAAGTAAAATGCGGGTACTCATACATTTATGCCGCCATTTCTAAATACTGTGTAGTATATAGAAATCATATTTGATGTAAAACTACATATTTGCCTTGTGAACGTTCGAGTTTACTATTCAGAACTTATACATAAAGTAAAGTAAATGTCCGGACCGGGACTCGTGTACAGAATCAGGCTGCAGGCTCAACTCCACTGAATTATTGAAGCGTCTCGACCTTCGTACCGTTTCTGTTCTCCTGGTACATTCACATCTATTGCATAATACAAATTGCGAACTTTATGTACGCCGGGTAATAAACAACACAATATTTCATTTACTTCACTGGTTCTGTAGGGTTGAAAGTTCCTTAAAACAAAACATAAGTAGGTATTTCGTTTTTTTTTACAAAACAAGAGTTTGTTTTGTGTTGCTTAGTTAAAAGATATAATATTGTGTAGGTACTGATAGAACACTGGTACAACATACTGATTACTGATTGTCGTTGTCAAAAATTGAAATAAAACACTCAAATCTTAATGCTTTAATGCTTAGTTTGTACTCCGACCATAAGAAACATAGTATTATTATACATATTTTATTCCAAGACCCGTCTATTCATTTTATTAATAAATGAAAAATACTTAGAAACTAAAACCGTAGCTCCATAACTGCTAACGCAGTTAAACTGTGACATCATTGAACATAATATCAGTATATGTAGGTATGTTATTAACAGAAAAATGGATAATTATTTATATGAACTAATATTTAATTTGCGTTCTAGGTATAACATACTAATAGATCCTATATACTTGAGAAAACTAAAACGCTAATCAATTATAAAACGCTAATAAATTATTATTTTTAATTAATTTTATTAGGTCAGAATATTTAAGAATGTTTATCACGGGGATATAGCTCAGTGGTAGAGCATTCGACTGCAGATCGAGAGGTCCCCGGTTCAAACCCGGGTGTCCCCTGATTCAATAATATCTTTTTTACAACTTATTACTATGTTTTTATGAGATTTCATTATATTTTTGACGAGATTTACCTAAACTTTCTTAATCTTAATATCAATTTTATCTTCAAATATTCACTATGAATACTGAATTCAATTATAAAAGTAACTCATAAAGTAAGACTTCATTGTGTAAATAATTTCGTGCATACCAATTTGTATATAAATATTGAATTTGGAATCACAAAAACCTCTTGTGAGTTGCCATTTGTTAAAACAAACTCCTTGTATTTCTTGGTACCCTAGGACAATACGGAATGTTATATTGAAACGTGTTATTGTTAACTTTAACAATTTGTAATTGTAAACAGAATTTGGGCTTGTTATTTCCATTGTTTCATTTAAATAATAGATCTGCTACTACATCAGTTCAAGTTTATAATGTTTAGCCTTAGGGAAATTATCAAATATTAATCAGAATACAAAGTATAATTTCAATCACTGAACAAATATAGGTACCTGCCTATCTTAGTACAAAACCGAGAACAATGAGTAAATTAATTAGTCTACCACTAACGTTTAGTAATTAGTCCGTATAGCTAGATACGTTTGTAATACGCCAACTGTGAATTGTTAACCAAGTGAATAGGATTACATTAATTAATTATTTCAGCTTATAATTTACGCAGTGAAACATCAGACCGCGTTTAATAATTAGGTGCTAGACCGGTCTTCTGTTCAGAGGTACCTAGATCTGAAACTAAAATACATTCTCCAAAGAAAGGAGAATTTAAGGTTTTACGATTCTTTTGACGTTTTGTTACGAATTGAAACTTTTCTCAAGTCTATTCAATACTAGGTATGTATGTACTGACCAACAAAATCTACGACAACCGGCTGCTACGCAACGTGTAGCAGTTTTGGTTCCCATACAGAACAACTCTTTGTGAGATCCACTGATTGTTGTTTCGGGTATGATGTGCATCTATGTTTCGTAGAATAGTAAATAATTTATAACACGGTTACACCAGCACTCCCATTTTCTAGTCTTCATCAAATACAAATAGTATGGTACATAGATATAAGATAGTAACAAATACTTATATGTAAGTACCTACTTATTTGTAAAAAATCTATGAATTTGTAAATAAGCACATTATCCACACAAATCTTATTCCGATTATATTGGATGAAACTAATTATTAAGACAAAATACGTGCGTGCATACTTAAAGAAATAGTTTGATGTAACTCTCAAATCCCCTTAACCCTCAAATAACCTGTATCCATGGGCGGCACGATTTACTTACCATCAGATGATTAGACAGCTCGTTTGCCATTCTGTTATATTGATATAAAATCGACTGTTTTGATCAGTGGTCTCAATCCCCGGTGAGCGTGGCGGGCGGTGCCGCAGAGTCTCCTCCTGAGGGATTCAGACGAGCGGCGAGAGGATCCTTCTCAGCCATTCTGGACCTACTGACAGCCACCGCCAACTTGGAGATCCCACACCAGGTATGTTTTAATGCTTCATTTAATATATTGTTACTATTCCACACCCATAGAGGATAAATACATAAATCATTATTATGATCAGCCTGTAAAGACCAAACTGCGTAGAAAAACATCTTCTCACAAGTAGACGGAATTAATAGCACGCTTGGTCAAGGCAATTTCAAACTTAGAATAAGAAACTAAAGTCCGGCGTCTACTCTTATTCTACGAAAAACGAACTTTCGATCGAAACTTCGCGTGTTTCCTACCACAGTTTCAATTCGTTCCGAAATATCGTTCGAACGAAATTGTTTGACATTTAGAACCTACTCTAATCCTTATTAGCTCCGAACGAACTTTTGAATTTGACAGACGATTTTTCGGATTTTTAACTTCAAATTGACGAAACCAAAAGTATTACCTTTTAATTTTCGTTTAGTGTGGATTTTGTATGAAAATTGTTTGAAATGGCTACAAGAATGCTTTAAATCGAAGCTCTTTTACGTGAAGAACGTGTAGAGCGTAGAAGGAACCGGCGCTGCCTGCGCAATCTAAGGTACATGAGGGTATTAAGGCCTAGCTAAGGGAAATTTGTTGTTAAATCAAAACTGATAATAGAATCAACAAGTTTTATTCGGTAATCAGTCGTTTATTTAGGCAACTACAAAACTATAACAAAAAAATAGCAACTTCTGCATGAAACCTAAACAATATTTAACATTTTTTTAAATGCTCTTAATAGGCCTTATTATAATTCGGTAGGGTAACAAGGCCTGCTTCTTTAACTATGCAATTAATCAACTAAAATAACATAATTTGGTATTTGATATCAATTATTATCCAGTCAATGGCAGAATAATACTTTAGAATTAAATGAGTAGCCTCATCTAACATCCACCACGGCATACGAAGTCATCATAATCATCCACTGATAAACCAACACACTCCTCATGATACCACTTGGGGATTGAGAGCACTGCCTTATGTCATCCATACTGTGTACTGTGAATGTAAAGAAAACCGTATGTTTTCTTCATAGGAATGGCAGTACCAACTCGCTTGAGTGCCTTCAGTGTCCTTGGTTCGATCAGATCCGCGAAAAGACTTTGTTTGAAGGTTAGAATTTCCTAGATCCCTTGGTTTTCTTCTTCTTCTGAATTTGTATTTTTATTCCCTGCGTCGCTTTTCTTACATTCATTAAATTTATCAAAACGATCTTTTTTCACTGGAGTACCCCGAAAATTAATAGCCTTATGCTGTCATGAAACCCAGATATTATTGATCTTTTTCTAGTCGTGCAAGTGGAAGACGATGTCTTCAGAGGAAATGCCATAAATCTTTTGATCACAATGCTCGCTTAGGAAGCATCGTGAAAGTAGGAACTGTGAATAATGCATGATATACCTATTGAAATAATTTGAAAATAATGCAAACATTGAAGAATATATATCTATAAGTATAATAAGGCCTTCTATAAATTTTTATAGGCCTTATTACCCATAGGTTAGGTATTTATGGAAAACGAAATAAATAAATTTTGGACTGTAGAACGTTAATAAAATAAGGCAATGTGGGACGAGCATAAGTTAACGATAATACAGACAGTAAGTGCAAGGAGATAAGTATAATAATTTAAGAAATATTTATGTTTAACTGGAGCCAATATTTGTAAAACCGTGACGTGCGGCTACTTTTGACAACGTTTAACACGCCATTAGCGAGAGCGAGTGTGGTAGCCAACATTTGCCGCATGGTGGCGCCTTTACGTGTAATATACATGTATGTGCGTGAGATTAAGCGGAAAATCGTATTCTAAGCAAGATTTTTAATATTTAGGCCTTATTATCCGACAGGCTTTAATACCCGCATGTACCTTACTTAATATACCTAAGTCGAATTCCCGACTTAGAGTTTTAGGACAGTCGCTTATTATTTTAGGAGCTATGAGAAACTAACTTTTAGAAAAGCTTTCAAACAAAAACTCATAAGTTGTATGTTATTGTTATGATATGTTTGCATGTAGGTACTCCGATTATTCGGAACGTGTTAGTTAGGTGGAAGGGGTAAAGAAACCAATCGCTGTGCTCGTCGCGGCACAAATATGTAAAAATGGGGAAGTAAATAAAATAACAATTTTGAAAAAATACTGAGTTTTATTTCCTATAGTTCTGCACTTATTAAACAAAAATAAAAAAAATTAGGTATCCTTTTAAATTAAATTTAAATTTTCTATTAGAACAGATATAACAAGGAGTATCATTTTAAACAACTTATTAGCATTTTATATAACATTAAAGCAATATTACTGTAACACATCCAAGTATATTAAGTTAGCATAAATAAGCATTATTTACCAAATAATGCTCAAAATAAAAATATCACACATTGCCATCCCAGTTACATACATTTGTAATTGAACATGAGTGTAATATTAATGGCTTTGTTTTAATTCTATTACATTTTTTTTAAATAGTAGGTAATTAACATTGCATACATTTTTATCAAATTCAACGACAGGTTTCTTTTCAAATGTAAATAATTGGACATTTAGCTTCGACTCGCTTTGTCACACAATTTTCTTCCACCACTGCACACTCAATATTAACGCACAGCCATATTATTATTCGCATTAGTTCTTTGTTCTTCCACATCCCTCACATGTTCTTCTAACACCAATTTTACCTTTTAGCACAGTCTGGGGTTAGAAAATGATTGTGTGTTTATAACACTCAAATCCTGTTTTTATAATAATATCCATTTTTATACAATTCAATACAATATATGCAATTCAATAAAATTCCTTTCACCACATATATTTATTTTATTTATAGTATATTTTATTAATTCGTACATTGATAAAAATAAACAATCTGTTGACATTAATTTTTTGACACATGTCGTGCACTGTCCGAATACAGCCATTTTTGGTCGTCATACATAACAACCCTTTCTTGGCATGAAATAGTACTCTTTAAATTAGTCGGTTATAAATGCCTGTAAAAGAGTGTTTTATAAGGTAACGATGATAAATTACACGATAAATTACAATTCCGTCAAAAATAAATATATTTTTATTTTCTGCGTGGCATATTATAAGTAATAGTTTTACAAACCACATACATAATGTGGAATTTAAAAAAGCAGTCAGAGAATTTGTAATTTTAACTTTAAGTAAAAACCGTAATTTACCACAAATCACATTATAAAGAACCTACACAATTACATTCGTTCACGAAAATTATCTCTGGATCGAACTTCGTATGCGTGTCCGAAAATAAAACAGAGTAGGGTCGCCAACGTTCTTTCGTTCGAGTTTCGTTCGTTTCCGAAAGTTTCGTTTCGAAGAAAGAGAGTAGACCCCCAGGAGGTCTACTCTTATTCTACGAAAAACGAACTTTCGATCGAAACTTCGCGTGTTTCCTACCACAGTTTCAATTCGTTCCGAAATATCGTTCGAACGAAATTGTTTGACATTTAGAACCTACTCTAATCCTTATTAGCTCCGAACGAACTTTTGAATTTGACAGACGATTTTTCGGATTTTTTACTTCAAAGTGACGAAACCAAAAGTGTTACCTTTTAATTTTCGTTTAGTGTGGATTTTGTATGAAAATTGTTTGAAATGGCTACAAGAATGCTCTAAATCAAAGCTTTTTTACGTGAAGAACGTAGAAGGAACCGGCGCTGCCAGGCAATCTACTTAATATACCTAAGTCAAATTTAGTCGGACTTAGAGTTTGTAGGACAGTCGCCTATTATTTGAGGAGCTGTGAGAAACTAACTTTTAGAAAAGTTTTCAAACAAAAAAATTAATAATAATTTATTGTTATGTATGATTAGTTTGCATGTACTTCGATTATTCGGAACGTGCGGAGTTGGTGGAAAGGGTAAAGAAACTGATCGCGGCACAAATATATAAAAAAGGGCAAGTAAATAAAAACACACTTAAAAAATAACTGATTTTTATTTCCTAAAGTTCTGCACTTATTAAACAAAAATTTAAAACTTATTATCCTTTTAAAATAAATTTCAATTTTCTAATAGAACAAATATAACAAGGAGTATAATTTTAAATAACTTATTAGCATTTTATATAACATCAAAACAATATCGTTACTGTAACACATCAAAGTACTTATATGAAGTTAACATAAATGAGCATTATTTACCATATACCTACTGCTCAAAATAAAAATATCACACATTGTCATCCCAGCTACATACATTTGTAACTGAACATAAGTGTAATATGAATGGCTTTGTTTTAACTCTATTACATTATTTTATAAAAATATTAAGCAATTAACATTGCATACATTTTTATCAAAATCAACGACAGTTTTCTTTTCAAATGTAGATAATTGGACATTTAGCTTCGACTCGCTTTGTCACACAGTCTTCTTCCACCACTACACAATCAATATTCACGCACAGCCATATTATTATTCGTATTAATTCTTTGTTCTTCCACATCCCTAACATGTTCTGCTAACACCAATTTTACATTTTAGCACAGTCTGGGGTTGGACAATGATTGTGTGTATAACACTCAAATCCTGTTTTTATAATAATATCCATTTTTTATACAATTCAATAAAATTCCTTTCTCCACATATATTTATTGTCTTTTATAGTATATTTTATTAACTCGCGTTGATAAAAATAAACAATCTGTTGACATTAATTTTTTGACACATGTCGTGCACGGTCCGAATACAGCCATTTTTGGTCGTCATACATAACAACCCTTTCTTGGCATGAAATAGTACTCTTTAAATTAGTCGGTTATAAATGTCTGTAAAAGAGTTTTTTATAAAGTAACGATGATAAATTACACGATAAATTACAATTCCGTCAAAATTAGATATATTTTTATTTTCTACGTGGAATATTATAAGTAATAGTTTTACAAACCACATACATAATGTGGATTTCAAATTTTGTAATTTTAACTTTAAGTAAAAACCGTAATTTACCACAAATCACATTATAAAGAACCTACACAATTACATTCGTTCACGAAAATTATCTCTGGATCGAACTTCGTATGCGTGTCGGAAAATAAAACAGAGTAGGGTCGCCAACGTTCTTTCGTTCGAGTTTCGTTCGTTTCCGAAAGTTTCGTTTCGAAGAAAGAGAGTAGACCCCAGATTTCATCACGATGTTTTCGTCCATCAGCCATATAACATTGATGTCTAAATAACCTTAATAATAGAAGTATTACTTATTAAAACTTGAAAACGTTCAAACAAACGATATAATTTTGATTGCGGATAAATAAAAATTAAAAACGTTTGAAAGACTGAGAAAAATAAGACATAGTTGTCAGCTATTATCGCAGTGTATTTTATCACACCGATCAGTAACAGAAATAACAATTCAATTTTCAACCTCGATAAAACATAATACGTTTTACTTTGGTCCTATAACAGTTTTAGCAACGATCATTAATTTCTCAAGACCTTCTTACTGACCTAGCAGTCAATAACAAACGCACATTCAAATACCCACTGTTGTTCAAAATCTTCCCTTGTTAAGGAATCCATTAATCTTCACTGACAAATAGATTGGTTTGAATAATAATAATTAATTAGCTTTTAAGACAGTTGCCATGTATTCTCCCTTCCAACAACTATAGAATATGTTTTGTGAATGTATTTCTAAAGGTACTATATACCTATAGAATTACATAACACTACCTACTACATACAAATACTATCCCTTTTTTTGTCAGGGAAAATCATCAAATGAATTCTCCCGCCCAGGGTACCTAAGGCGAGAGAGAGTATCAGCAGACTCTTGCTGACTAGAAACCCCTGCTTCTTCTCCTTCTTATGGCCGAGGTCGCGGTGCCTTATTGCGCTTACCCCGCAACCCCGGTTGAACATCAGTCCTGTAGGGCCCCAAGTGTGGTAGATACTATATCTATCTAAAAAAAAAGATGAACGATATCGTAAAAGTCGCTCCTTGCAGGGACTTCAACTCCAGACCTTACCCCCCCCCCTCCCCTAAAATTGTAACCCTGGGTCGTTGCCACATCGAAAACGACCCCCAAAGTAGGTA